TGAACTTGAGTTTACTGTACATGGGCAATATTGGATGTATCAAATATGCTTAATATTTGATTTCTGATACATCAAGTATTTAAAAAAATGGACAGACGGGCCCTGGTAAAATCTGATTTGAGAAGCATAACACCCATCATGAAAGAACATGAATCGAAAAATCGGAGGAAAACATCAACCTATCTTTAACAACTTTTACTAAAGTTACATGAAATGGACAAAATTTGCATCATGCAAAACAGTCAATGTTTGCCTTCATTGGCACACTAGAGTTCGGTGATCAAACCCTGCACTGTCTGTTGTTCTGACAGCTAATTCATTCCCCAGCATACTAAAGAAGAACATAAACTGTTTCTTTTGATTATGCTTGATCTTTTAATTAATGCTTGAATGTTTTCCTGATGAAAAGTTATAGACATGCTAAACGAGGAATAAAAACAGCATTTTCCTTCCAGCCAGGAGCCAAAAATGAGGTAAAGTCTGGAATAAGAATCACAGAACTAAGGGATTCCCAAAGACAAAGCACAGAAAATGACAACTGAAGGAAGGCAATTAAAACTAACAGAAATCAAAATAATAATAGACATAACTGTAATCATTAAAAGAGTCCAAAGAAACGTGGAAAACAACATGGAGATCAGAAAAGGAGAGATCAAAGTGACAAAAATAAAGAGTTCCTGAAAGATCAAGTTAGAAGCTGTGTTGCACATGTATGGAACAAGAGTAATCAGTCATGGTTACAGTTTTGAAGCAACCAAAGAATGGCTCAGTTCTTGAATTCAATTACATCCTAAAAGTACATATGTGAATACATCACACGCACAACTGTGTATGTAAAAGGCAATAGCACGAGACCAGCATGTGAACCACCAAGTGCAAGTATCCCATTCGTTTAAACAATACTCACGACATATTGAGGGAATCGAGAGTGTATGTGAAAGAAATGTACATGTACGTAAATTGGTCCTGGATGTAGGGATGTGACTGTCCTGCATGTACTCATGTAAAAATTGAAAAAGGAACAGTACAGAGAAGACTAGTGGCTAAAGTTGTAGTTTTTAAAGTGTTCATTTGAGTGGAAAGAGGCAAAAAGTGATCTCTGGGATAAGAAAACCTCTTTTTTTAAACAATCTGAAGAATGTAACTTGGTTTTGAATAATTATACAAGATGATTGTTTTGAAAAGTAAAGAAAGAAGATGGGAGAAAATAGGGTAAGTTTGATTCTGCATTAATCACCAAAATGTGTGGGCATGAACAGAAAATGGAAAATTCTTGTATAATACTGTGAATAAGGTAACAGATAAAAATATTAAATGTCATTGACATATCATTCAGAAATAAATGAGCATTGAACCCGGATAAAGTTGAAGGCGGAGAAGGCGTACAAAGACAAGATTTTAAAACACAGTCTGATCTATTCCAAGTCACTGGTCTAGGAATATCGCTGTGTGAAGGTTGAAATTAGTTTTTGATAAGGGATATCTGTAAGAAACAGGCATGGCAAAGAGATGGTAATTTTACAACTCATATAGTTGAAACAGGAATTATATCTTCCTTTCCAAATGAGTTTATACCACATTCATCAACTGCATGGAATTTGCTTTTAAGAACTGCTACTTGAATTTTGCATTTCAAGTATTTGAAACTACATGTAACAAAAAGGGTCTATTTTCATTTTCAAACTTCAGCCCTGTTCTCGCAACAGAAATGAAAAAACTCATTTATACGCGGAAAAAGAAAGGAAAAATTCCTACAGGTAATTGAGGGCACATATATACATCAGGATTGTTGACAGTATTTGTGTTCAAGTGAAAGTAGCAAATTCAAACAGGTTTTTTAGAGGAAAAAGATTTGTGTAACTAGCATGTGTCAAAATGTAGCAATTATTTAAAGATGATACCAGAGTTGTGAGAAATGTGGTCAGAACAGGATAGTTTGTGATAGACAAAGCCTAGAAATTCAGTAGAAATTACCCTATCAGTATAGCTTTGTCATTACAAGTGACAAAAGATTGATGTTTTCTGGATAATAGACTCAGCTGAGGACAAAAATAGTTTGTCTTGATGAAGAGGTTGAAGGAAAGGCATTGATGACAACAGATTCATTTGTGTCAGTCAGAGAGTAATGTCTGGGAACTGAGAGAAAACTATTGTGTCATCACAAAATTGAAAGACATTAGAGAAAAACTGTGATGGTGAGAAGTATGAAAGAGAGAACAGTAAAGGCCCAAATTGGATGTTCAGGAAAGACGAGGTGTTAATCAAAGCAGTTGAAATATGAGTTGAGGTATTGACTCGGCAAGATGATTACAATTTCACCAGCCCTTCAATGACAGAGAAAAGAGGGAGAACAGGAGTAGGTAGGTCTGTAATCATTTAACAACATTTACAACTAACAATCCATTTTCCCCACTTTTTTCCCCTATTTGAATTTCCCAAGGTTCAATAAGTAGTTTAAAATCTAGAAATACATTTTAGATGTTCTCAAGTAACTGCAGGGGAAAAAGTAGAAATGTGTTTCAAGATGGAATTTATTTTAAAATCTTCCAAACAACAATCCCATATAAATATAGATTCAATGACGGTATCAGATTGGAGAGGGCAACTGCCAATGGTTGAAAATTGGTTTTGTTTTGTTTTTGTTTCTTGTCCATGCATATAAAATGCCACATTTAAAACCTCAGCCTCATTCTCAAGAAAAAATTGAAAAGCCAACAATTACAGAGTGGTCAACTATATTTGCAATATTAAAAAGAATTACAGAGTCGTTAATCCTATGATATTGCACAATTTCTGAATTTTGTGAAGTGACTAGGAAAGTTCTGATGTGGAAAAAGGGTAAAAGTTCCAAGTAGATTGTGGACACATTTATACATTAAGACTGAAGCATGGAGTTTAGCGGCAAGAATACAAGCCTTAGGATGTCCACTTGATCAAACAGTGGCAAAGAGTGATATTGAAATTGAAAAAGGTTGCAATTCAAACAACTTTTTTATGGGAAAACAAAGATTGGTGTTACAGCATGCATACAATGCACTAATTTATAATTCAGGTAAGATGTGTGTGTTGCAGAGGAGCAACTACATGTAAGAATGACAAGAAAATGGCAAAGTTTAAAGATGACCAATTCGGAAGGAAAGATTTTCATACTGAAATGGAAGAAATGTGGCATGACCGGGAGGTTGTGATAGATTGGAATACCTGTAAACCTAGCAGAAATAAACCCTTTAATGGCTTTTTGTGATCCGTTACAACGGAAAAAGGTCCATGCTTTTCGAAATTGGGTTTCTGAAGATGAGCTTGTGCGTTATCATCAACGAAGAGACCAAGATGATAAATTCACAGGTCTATTGAAAAGAAATAATGACTGGACAGGAAGAGAAATTCATGTGACTTGCTGATAGATTATGAATTAATGAAACAATGATGAAAGATTGAGCCCTAAGGCCTAAGGGTACAATGGCATATAAAGGTGGCTCGAGCCTAAGCCTTTAATTAATGGATGTATACTGGCATGAGAAAGGCAGAAAGCCACTGTAAGAATTCATGTAATAGATTGCTCAGTGGTGTTGGAGACTTTTAATAGACAAATCACTTTTCCAAGGATACTGGATATTATTACAAAAAAATTGGAGAGTGTCAAGTTAGTAGAATGCTGGGATCTGACCCAAGAGCTCAAAACTGAAGACCAAAGAAGATGTGAAAAAAAGGAATTGGCAAAAAATATTACAGACCAGTCTTTCAAGACTTTAGAGAAATGAAGGATGAAGATAAGCATCAGTTCTGTAGTTAATGAGATGCTATTGGTATGGAAGAATGACACGTTTCTCTAGAACTGATGTGCATGCATTTCAGAAAGTTCTTAGTAAGCTATGTCAGAGAAGTGTGTTAAATGTACTATGTTCTTTGATACTGAGTTAATTATTTTGCAAGAAATATGATCATTTTTAAAAGGGGCATGAGCAACAAATGCATTTTCTAATTATTCTCAAACATTTTGTGGAAACAGTGGTAATGTTTTCAAGTTTGCAATATTATTGTCAAAACATTTACCTTCAAGCCAATGAAATTTGATTTGTTTCTCGTCAGGGGTTTCTCTTGGATGCGGGTTTTTCTTTTATTATTCATTATTCATTTTTTCTCCCATGGAAAAATAATATACCCTTTTCACAGGTGTAAAGAGCTATTTTGTGCCCCGATAGGCTAACACTAACAAGGAACCCTTTAGCATTCAGGCTCCACCTGTTTTGTGTTCTGGTGACGGGATTGCCTGAATGTAACTTTTGATGTTGGAGTTGGATTTTCGGTCAAGTTTTGCCATTTTTTTCCTTCAAATATGATGAATCATGAAATTTTTTGATGTCGGGCCAAAATTGCATGCGGGCCCTGACGAGAAACAAGAAATATAATTTCATTAGCCTTGAAGCCTTGCGAAGTGTGACTTCATTTCAAAAACTGAAGATTTGAAACACTATTAAAGCCCACTGTCCAAAAACATTATATTCTTACCCATTTGGGCAGTGAAAGACGTCTATGTGTTACACAGTAGTATGGTCTCATTAGAGTAAGATTTTTTTTTCTGAGAAAAATTTCCTGAAATGATAAATGCGGCAAACTGCTGCCAGTAATTTGAAACCTATAGAAGTCCTCAAAATGACTTTTATATATGACTATGATAAATATGAACCAAAATATGAAAGGCTGATTAGGGAATTGAAAAGGCGAGGGTGACTTACACATCACTACTTTTCACATGGTTGGAAATGTCTACTTCTTCAAACAAATTTGTCACTCTCAGTTACGAATAATTTTGTTCACAGAAATGCCATTTTGCCCAGCGAAAATACGTAAGTTTCACAACCGAAAGGACACGTTTTCACTACAAAAAGTCTGCACTCTTCTAATAACCACAACAAGGGAGCTAAAAATTACGGGGGAAAAGTAACGCTGATAAAACTGCACTTGCAAACTCTGCGAGCAATACAGGTTTAGATACTCACCAGCGAAGAGATGGCGAAGACAAGCTCCAATGGCACACTTTTCCTCATAAAGTACGCTTAGGATGGTCACCCATGTGTTTTATTTCTCCATGGTTCACCGAAGTTCGTGAGCTTAAATTTACGAGAAATAAAGCATTTTTGGCGATAAATGCAGAGCTAATAGTTGAATCGGAGGCCACAGCAATGGCGTCCCTTTGCGTGTTCACGTGCGATCCACCTATCGGCAGCACATTCCGGCAAACAATACACTTTTTGTGCGGCTTCTTAACATGCAAGGCAACACCACATACAACACAATTTCAGGATAAAAAGGACAAAACCTGTTGCTATAGCGGCAGAGCCAATCAGAGAACTAGGACCCCCCTTGAAGCTTTTTTGGACCAATCATTTTTTCCAGCTCTAATCCTCCATCTGGATCCAAATAAACCACGCGCCCGATTAAATATGCATCAAAAAGCACAGAATATAATTGATCTAAGGCTTAAAATGTGTTATTTTTGTCTCTGACAGACAGCACATTACCGTCCCTAGCGTTTCCTTTTTTGGCGCAATTTAAGCCAAAAGGCAGGCTCTGCTTCTATATGAACCAGCCTCAGACTAGCTGCCTTTCGGTAAACCTTTGTTGCATGTTTGCCAAGTAACTCATTGGAACAAAAATTATGTATTTTTGTCGTATTCCTGTTACGAAAAAGATTAAAACAACGCCCGAGCTGAGAAATTGTGCTGCCTCAGGGAAGTCCGATTTTGATTGGAGGAAAATTTCACCAATCACTGAGGCCGCTATATTATAACAAGTAAAGCAAGCAGACAGTAGTACTTGAGATGAGTGGGCGGGGCAAGAATTTCCAGAGTAAATCTTATAAGAATGTTCTCGGGTAGTCATTTTTTCTTGTTTTGGCCAACAATCAATGTCCTTTTAATCACCAAAATTACCACAGTTGCTTTGCAAATGTTTGATGTCGACTGACACATCAGAAACATGAAATAAGAATCCAAGATGTCACAGAATCAACATTGCCACAAATAATGCTTAAAATATGAATAACGAACAAGTGTATGAAGGAAAATTGCATAGTCTACACTATTAACAGGTGTGGATTTGACAGAAGATTGCTTGGAGAAATCTCAAAGAATCACTTCCCACTTCAAAATACCAGATATATGTTAATTCTGTAACAAATCTTTCATGCAGCTTGTTGAATCTCTCAAAAAAAGAAACATTTCCGTAATCATTTCGATTTTATAAAGACAATCACAAAAGGGATATCTCTATTTCCAAAGAATCTGACCCATCCAAAAGCTTCACCATTAAGGCCAATATAATCACGGTTGAACAATTATTTAACATCAAGTTGTAAAAAAAAGCTAAATGCACTACATGGACTAATACTCTACTCTAAACATTTATCATATTCCGGGCTTGTTATACATGTACATCCACACAAAAGCTACGGTTCCTCATATACTGATTTCCTACATTTGTTTTAATCATAATCACAATCCTCCAGGGGAACTTCACAAAGCCCCAATTATAAAATATTCCAATTTCACAAAAACTGAGCATCAAGTCATATTACAGGCCACGAACAAGTGAAGTATTAAACATTGTGTATATGTAACGAGACGATTTAATTCATTTATCACAACTGCAGACTGACGGGCTAGACGTCGTGCGAGACAACATTTGACGCAACAAACCACCATAGTTTTACTTCATTTTAAATGTTAACTTTAACTTTGAAATTTTAGTAGTTTGAAGCCTACGTTACGGTCATTTTCAGCAAGTCAAAATGCTTATTCTCTTTACACCTTTCTGCAGTTGTTCAAATCAGGTAAGTAACTCATTTTTGTAATTTTTGGTGGTTCCACATCAATTTTAACATTTATGCATGATGCCAGGGTTGGATTGCTGTGTGATTTGTCGGCCCTCAAAACACTGAAATGTTCTGAAGAGAGCCCAACATTCAATTTTTTAACTTCGGCAAGGTGCATCACCAAAAACATACAACCTCCTAACACTGCACTAACAAACACCACAGGTGATGGTTTTAATGAAATTCATTTTAAAAAAAGTAATAAAAAAATTAAATGGGTACCAAACACACGTTAGAAATGATCAAATTCAACACCAAAGTCTTGTATTGCTCCTCATGAAAAAATTAATGTTGTGAAATCTGTGAAATCAATGAACGAGTTTTCCACATCTCGGCTTGCTTTTGTCTCTGTCTTTGGCTCAATCACGAACCATTTACCCAGGGATGTGCAACCGTGAGCGGCCCCAGTGCAAACACATGTGCGACCTTGGTTCCATGCGTGTTACGGATTGTTATTACCCCCTGCAGGTGCTCGCGACCACATGACATCGTTGCAGCATGCAGCACGTACAGTGCAGCCGTGGTTATGCCGAGACGACGCGCCGACGCGGTGCTTTAATTCTATTCGTTTTGACAAATAAATCTTCATTTATCGATTTCAAGGAGAAACAAAGTTTTAATGCGGCAAAATTCCCCAATTTTGTGGTACACTTTCCAAGAATGTTTAGGATGAAATGTCATGAGCAGCATATTTTTAGAAAGGGTGTACCCTATTACAAGAAAACAAAGTGGTAGACAGGAATATATGTTTTATTATTAAAGTGTTGCATAATCCAATTTAATTTCTGATTTGATATTGTGCCAGCCGTAACACGCACTGAACCAGCTCTGAGCTTAAGTTGCACATCCCTGGGTAAATGGTCCGTGGCTCAATTCAGCTCAATGTAGCTCCTTTTTCAGGTACTTGCGCATCTAATATCAGACCAAGATTTGGAAGAATGTTAATTCTTTTGATGCAGTGATGCTCTGACATTAATTATGAAGCTTAAAATGAAGCCAAAAATGGAGAAAAAGGTGCGACTCGGCAAAGCTCTGGGGACATTTTTGCGTCCATGCAGTGATTCCCACAATCTAGGGTACATGAATAGTTTTCCACAGAATGTGCAAAGAGAAATTCATGCTCATATTTGCCAAGCAGACAGAGATTATAACTTAAGACCACTGGACAGCAATTGCTTTACTTCACCAATGAGCTTAATATTGCAGTAACTTCAATGCAGGGCAAAGTTTGATCAACAGCAATGTGACCATTGGTCAACTGTGCCCGGTACCCAGGATATATTTTATGCAGTTACCAGTCAAAACTGAACATGTTGACAAATGGTTACTGATCAAACTTGGCCTTGCACTGTGGGCAATACGTCAGGCTGATCTTCCCTCTTGGAGTGGCAAGCAGCTTTATCCAATGGTTCTAATTGTGCCTCTCACATTTCACCAAAGCTTTCTCGTCACAAATTCACATGGGTCATAACACATTCAATCTTGATGCAAAATGCCCCTGCCAATATCTCAAAGTAAATCAATTTTACTGATCACTGCAAAGCATCTGATGAGGTGCTCAAAATGATACCGATTTTGAAGGGTTCAGTAATACATTTAGCATCTACAAGCTACATGAATTCAGGAGTGGGATTGGCATACCAATTACAACCATGTGACAATATGGCTTGAAAGGCAAAATCCTGTCTCACAAATCTACTAGAAGCAATTTCAGCGGTTTCTGAAACCCATGTTAGAAGGGAACAACAAATTATGTGAATTAATAAGAACCAGTTGATATACCATGGTGCAAATCCTTCAGAACTTAGCGATGCAATGCAATACAGTGGGGAGTGAATCTGCTAGACCAAATTGTCTTTATTCCACATTCTCAGTGTGAAACGAATATCAAGCACTGTCTAGTTGCTTACCTACAAACAAAAGATTTCATTTCTGTAGTGAATTTTACACTACTATTAATACTATGCTTTAACAACTTTCGACCGATCAGGTGTGGTCCAGTAATTTTTGTACCCTTAAACCCCTAAATGGCTTTCGGTGTACAAAACATCATGAACCACACCCAACCAGTCAGAACCCACTTCATGTACAATGCCGTCACTCATTCCTCCTACAGGTAAAAGTATAATCCTCAACCCAAGAAGCCCTCCTTGCAGGCAGCAAAACTGGAAGAATGGAGTAGGTGGTTACTCTTTACGCGTCTTTCCTTTGCCTTTCCGGGGCGACTTCCTGGATGCGACAAGAATGGTTGGGAAAACAAATTGATTTTACAAGCTTCAGACTGGTGTTATGTGAGATACACGAGAAAAAAGCTTCAAGTTAGGTCCACAGGAGGCTGCTGCTATAAAACAACCGTTTCAATTCAAGCCAAATTGCAGGCTTAATCGCAGTTCTTATCAAAAAACTGCAAACTTCTTCCTGAATCTGGTCCCTTTAAAGGTTTCTAAATCCTGGGCGCAGTTCAAAAAACTTTACTTGTCCAGGAGTGAAAGGCAAATCAAACTACCTACCAACACGGAAGCATGTTTCACTTCAAATCAAACTGTAAAAATCAACCCCGCGTCAGACTTTGGCCAAAGGAGAAAGACTAAATACTGGTCATCAATTGTCAACTATTGCAGAATATCCACTCCAAGAGAGACGACAAGAGGATATATTTTTATAGCAAGGACAGTCTGGGTAGAGGAACTTGCCACATTTGCGCATAGGTTAATGTACGTTTGGTGTGGGATGTGCGGAGTAGATGCTACCAATTTCTGTTTGAATGTATGCTCTTCGCCTGTGCAATGGATGTGTGCACAAAGCCTGTAGGAAAAACCACCAACCAAACTGTCTCTTTTTTGCCAATGAGAGTGTGGTTCAACTCGGGATAGACAACAGACATGGGTATCATTTTATCAAGAGGGAAAAGATGCCGTGAGAGAGTCTGAGTAACTTTACCAACGGCTACAGGCAATGTACACTTCTGTGCAGTGTTTTACAGGCTTTTCAGTTAATGATGCACAAGCCAAATGGCAGTTTTGTTCATCTGAAACAGTGCAGAATGCCGCAGGAAACTCTCAAGGGACACATGATGATCAGCGACTAAACCCCCTTTATTCCAACTGTGTCTATGCTTGAAGCACACCACACTGATGGGTCTTACCTGACAGTGTCGCCAGCCGCTTCGGTGGACTCAGCTGGAGCATCCTCCTAACAGTGAACACAGAAATGCACACACTGTCAGCTTTGGCCATTTCAGCTTTTGGAATTCATTCAAGAGAGGTGTTGCAAGACTTAGCTGAGAAAATACCCAGATCATTGAACAAGGTCTACCCAAAACACTGCCGCCGGCAAAATAACAAAATAAACAGACATGGGCCGGTTGAATCCCAACCCCCTCTGAACAAGCCTGGAATCTTGTCACAATACAGAGCTAGAGGGACTGGAACAATTGCTTCTATTTTTTAAAAACGGTTCAAAGATATATTCAGAGGATAGGTGAATCAAATTAACACTTATCTTAACAAATTTAGAAAATACGGACATCAACACAGCTACTTAAAAATTACAGCTTGGTAAAAAAACCCGGCTAGAGAAGCTAGCATGTCTTGGATATGAAACACACTCAATCATCACTAGGGGTGAAAAGTGGGTTACTGGTTAATGAAAAGCTCTCCTCTGTTTTCAAGGAGACAGTTTTTCAATTTGCAAAGGCTTCAAAAGACCAAAACAAAACAAATGCTGTACCTGCCATTTCCGGTCAGTTCTTGGCCATCCTGACATTTGTGACCTGGTACATCGTAATCAGGAATAAGTCGCTGAGGCCTTTTTAATGGCCGAGTAAAGTGGGGATGTGGGTAAATGTTGAGAAAATCAATGTGGCAGTTTCTGTATATTTTGGAAGTGTATGTATGAAAGGTTACCATCAACACGCTTGAAATATGTACCATTTAAAAGCTGTCAGAATTCTCTTTCTGACGATGAACATATCTCAAAAAGTCAATTTGCGACTTATTCCTGATTTCGATGTACCAGATCACATTTGTCACTGCCCTAAGTGATCGAGTCACATCCAGGCTCCTTACCTGATCGGCTGATTGCTCCAAGTCGGCCTTGGTGGCCTTCTTGCGTTGTCTTACCCCACCCTCCCCTTCTTCCCCTTCTTCCTCCCCTGCTGCCCCTGCCTCCTCCTCTTCTCCAGCCTCTTCCTCCTCCCCCTCCTCTCCCTCCTCCTTGGTCTCATCGTCAGGGCTGGCTGCGTCTGATTTCTTGGCCTCCCCGGCGTCAGATGGGGACTATTGGGCAATAGCATTCAAACTGTTTTGAGCGACCCTGCACTTACATTTACAGTCAACATGAGCTGAACACAGCAGTCCACACATTAACCATAACCCTGCTACAGTTGTTGCATACTGTTCAATCCTTGCCTTAAAGGGTACTTTGGCAAGAAAGCCTGCCAAACACATCAGTCTGCATCATTTGTCAAAGTGGGACAAGTTTGATCAGTGACAAGTTGTCAACCAATGGTCAATTTTAACTGCTAACCTGTGCACGAAACATATACCCGGGCACCAGGCAAAGTTGACCAGTTGCTCACAAACTGTCGCTGATTGAACTTGCCGAACGCCTGCCTGCCCAGTGCCAAACGATCCAACAGGTCCACTCCAACTGGTCCACAACCCTAAAGGCCAAACGGCCGGGGAGTCTGTGGTTGCCAGCCACCTTGAGATGCAACAGCTCCCACTGACTAAACAGGGGTGGTTTGGGGGGGGGGTTCTTTTTTGTTTGTTTTTGGCTGCTGTTGAATTGCCTAGTGTAACAAAGTGCATCAGACTTTTACACCTGCTGTAACATGCTGCGTCTGGCAGGGTTAGGGATACGTTGGCAGTGAGCACAAGTGGCAGGATGCACCGTGCAGCTTGACAGAGCCAAGGCTGATCTTTGTCCAGTGCCCTGCACGGCGCCACAAAATCCATCGGCATTGTGATGCATTGTGCTGCATTGGGCAGGATTCTCATTTCAGCTGTGTTGCATTCTGTGGCATTTAACGGGGTGCCTGCGAGGAACCCCATGGGACTTACGGTGACAAGTCATTCAAATCTCATGTTCAATCACAAACCATTAAAAAAAACTTAATCAAAGTTTTCCTTTGTCACTCTTCATATCCTGCCTACTTGTTGACCCGACTTTAAAGTTTGAGCAACACTTGAGAATACTACAACCAATGACATCCTGTCTGAAATTTTGGCACTGGACGTGTGTACTTTTGAGCGGTCTACTGGCATTCTAAAATGCAATTTCTAGCTGGCAATGGACTTGAATACAAAAGGCTCCGCGTACGAAGAGGAGAAGAGGCTTTTTCTTTAAGCAACAATTTCCCTTGAGGTAACATACTGCATGTATGCGCTTAATTGAAGGGATCTGGTATGGAATCTACGTGAGTAGTCAAACAGTTTTGTGGGAGCCTGACACGCATTGCAGTTGGGCATCAATTGTCCCTCTAATCACTCCATCACTGCTGAGAGGATACCTGAGACAGGAGAGACAGAGCCATGCACTGAGAGTTGTGATGGCTTTGGAATAGAAGCCATTTTGGTCCCAAAATCTGCAAGTGGGCCAATGCACAAAAAATGATAAATCATCCTACTTTGGTGATATCGTTGGCCGTGTCACTTGGGAGTACTGTTGTTTCCACTGTTCTGACTGACTGGTGCAGGCACACAGACAAAAAACCTCATCATTTGGAAACAAAATGGCATCAGTATCAAATCACGTTTCAACCATCGCTATGGACAGTTCTGCAGAAAGGAGGTTCAAAGTGGAATTTTGCCCTTACCCTGCGGAAGCACACCCTGAAGCAGACAAAGAGAGGTATGATGAGGACGAGGGCATAGATGGCCCAAAGCCAGGGACGGTCCTGGGCAGCGTTCATCAGGCCGGACACAACGCTATCCTGAAGGAGATAGAAACATCAAACTCCACGTGATTACTGGTGTACATTTATGGTCCGCAAGGGATCCTGATCACACATATAAAAGTACAACACAGCGACCTGAGTGCGCAAAAAAGAAAACTTGACCCAAAAACTCAAAAAGAAGAAAATAGAACAAAAGGCATTCAAAACTGTTAATTCCATCTTCACAAAAACGCTCAATAATCTACAGAAAGCAGACTACATTACCGCCCACAGACCATAGATTGTCTGCGATGAATGACAGTGAGTGAATCACTCGACCAGCGTCAAATTCAGTAGCAGTTCATGTTTTTTTCCGAACATGATAAATGAGGTTTTTTTTGCATTGTGCCAGTGTGGTGAAAAAATATGCAGCACTCGGCATCACCTGTTGCTTGTTGTAAGTGCACATATGAACACAAAATCTGACTTGGGATTCCAGGTACCCTGATTTCCATTTTACATTTTTCCTTTCAAAATCTTTTTCATTGTTCAAGAATGTAAACAATTGAGATGTTGATGACTGGCATTGTAGAAATAAGGCTACAAGTGAGAGAAAGCGAGAATTCCAAGAGTTCACATTGGCATTTAGTATTAGCAGTGCAATCATTTTTGATCCACTCGGCCCGTGGAAATATAACTAGCTGAATGAAACTGTAACAAGATAATTCGTACTTCATGCAAATGACAACATGAAGAGGGCATGACACTCGCAATTGCAAGTGCAGTATCACACTGTAAAGGCCAGTTCATAGTTGGCGCGAAAGCGAACACAAATGCGAACTGGTGAGGTTGGATCAAATACACGCGCTGTGAATTCCCAAAGCTTCAACTCGAGCAAAAGTTGGCCGCAAATCTTCCTTGACATCAAACTTGCTTCGCTGTCACATTCGCCTGTCGTATGAACTGGCCTTAACATTGCATGCAGGTACCCATCTTGGGGTCTGATGAGTGACCAATGCTGGATGTGAACTCCAGTAGCCACTTTGTTCACAGCCTACTTCGCGGGTGTACTCACCGCTGAGCCCGACGCTCCCTCTTGCTTCTGCTTGAGCGCCCAGGTGTCTGCCGCCCATTCATCAGCCACGTCGCGACTGGACGTCACGATGAAGTTGTCAAACAGAATGCTGTCGGTCATCGACCAGAGCTCCAAGCCAACGGCAGCCTGAAAGAATGACATGGTTGGGATAAATGGTGGTCAAAACACCAGTTGTGGAGATGTATGGTTAAGCAGAGACTTTTTTGCACTGCCTCTCACGAACAAATCACTCCCCCTGTTCATCTGGAATAAGTAACAAGCAGCACCCAGATGTGGGTGCAACTTTTTTAGAAACACATGTATTTCATAATTTGCTGATCGGAATGATTATAATTCAACTAGTGTAAAATACAATCTGAACTCTACAATATACTGTAATGATGTAGAGAACCCATGCAAGATATACTGGGATAAATTAATGTACACCCCTGGGTAGCTTTCAGCCGGCTTACCCCGGCTGTGACACTGAGAAATAACAGACTGTCAGATTACACGTCGTAAGTGAATCGTGCTTCATGTAAAATTCTCAAATGGAATGCAAACCTTAGGTGTACGTTTAGTTGTTACAGTACAATGCACTTAGACATGAACAATTCAGTCAGTTTCTTTGACAATGTAAATTCCACATAAAACTGGCTTTCACTGAAGGCACTTTCATACGGCATCACATCACATGGGTTGATATCTTCCTGGATCTTTTCAAGACCAATGGCCAATACTCACAATTGTGGTCATACGGAAGGGCTCCATGTCCTCAAAGTACTCCGGGTTGGATATCCGCCTGGGCTTCCACTCCCCTTTGTAGGTGGGGTTGTCGATCATGGGAGGCTTCCATTTGCCCTTGTAGGCCGGGTTGGGGATGGTGGGCTTTTCCCACTTGCCGCAGCCGACATCCTCGCATAGAGGGTTCTCTGTCAACGTCAAATCAGAATTACAAATAACATGAAACACGACAGCCATTACCAATGGCTGCTGAAAGGCCACTTCCTGAAAAAAGACTTTCCAACATCTCAACTTCCTTCATGAAGCTCACAGTGTTTAACAAAAGGAAACAAAAAACTGACTGCAACGCATGTTTTTCAGTTTACAGTTCCTGAAAAGGTTCCTCAAGGATTGCAAAGAGCCAGATCAGTGTTTCAAAAATGTAAGCTCATTGGAGAAAACAGCACGAACACGGCTGATAGGGCTGACCTTCCGTGCATGTTTCGGTATTCTGGAATGATCAATAACACTCTATATTTAGGGCACTGGCCAATGGAATACTGAAGTAGCTCGGTGCTGTCTTCATTACCCCTACTACAAACCATTCAATGTGCATTCAGAATGCTTGAGTTAATGACGCAACTGAGTCGGAATAAAGGCTGTTTTTGAAAGTGACTTCACTTGCATCGTCACTGAGAAATAAGACCGGTCTTGGGCTTCAGAAGCAGCTTGGCAACTCACGCTGGCGTTTTTTGCTGACTGGCATGGCAGCACCGGGAGATACAGTGACAAAACCGTGGAATTATAATAAACCTTTAAGTGCACACCGAGTACCACACTTACTTATTTTTGGCGGCTCCCATTCTCCATCCATATCCTCATCCCTGAAACAGACAGACAGACGTGCCAATTTGAACAACACAAACTACTGAAAAACTCTGGTCACTACTCTACTCAGTCACATCACGGACCATTTACCCAGGGATGTGCAACTTAAGCTCAGAGCTGGTTCAGTGCGTGTTACGGCCGGCACAATATCAAAGCAGAACTTAAGTTGGATTATGTAACACTTTCTCTAATAATAAAACATATATTCCTGTCTACCACTTTGTTTCCTTGTAATATTTAGAGTCCGGGTACACCCTTTCGAAAAATATGCTGCTCAAGATATTTCATCCTATACATTCTGAGAAAACTGCACCACAAAATTGGGAATTTTGCCTCATTAAAACTTTGTTTCTCCTTGAAATCGATAAATGAAGAAGATTTATTCGTCGAAACGAACAGATTTAAGCACCGTGTCGGCGCGTCGTCTCAGCTTAACCACGGCTGTACTGTACGTGCTACATGCTGCAATGTGAGTCATGTGGTCGCGAGTTTTTTTTAGAAAGGCGAGAGCGCCTGCGGGGGTAATAACAATCCGTAACACGCATGGAACCAAGGTCACACATGTGTTTGCACTGGGGCCGCTCACGGTTGCACATCCCTGGGTAAATAGTCCGTGGTTACATGCACCACAGGCCAGAGGAGGATTACATATTTTTCAAGAATTTAGAGATATTTCCAGATTCCCAGGTTTGTACCAATACTGGGTGGTTGACAAAATGTCGATCATCTCAGGGCTTTCACTCTTTCTTTTACCCAAAACCATTTGTCGACACAAAGAGTAAAATGGGTTAAAATACAGTATTGCAAGTTTGTGGTAACACCATGGAATTTTTTTTCAACCTGATGCATCAAACAGTGTGCTACGTTCATCATCAGAAGACAGGTTAAATTAAGTTCATGGATGATGGATCCAAGTTAAAAATCAAAAAACCTATTTCAAAAAAAAAAGTTCAAAATGAAATGTTCTAAAGGGTCCAAATTCTAGTCAGGCTGATCAAAAGATACCATAACACCCCTTCACACAATAAATAAAAAAAAAAATGATTTACGGCCAAGCCAACACACCACGGCAGGTTTTTCCCCTGTTGTGCCACTGAGTTTCAATGAGTCACCTGTCCACTGCGCTGAAGCCAGTGACTAGACTCGGCCTGGTCTGATTAGACAGCCAGCATGCAAGCTATCCCTGGGCCAGCTATGGCACTTGATCAGTCTACCGTGAGCATGAGGCATCCTAACAGGTTACTGATGCGGTCATATGACTCTAACTGGACTAGTGTGCCCACCTGTAAGCTACAATTTGGCCAGTGGTAGCAAGCAGGTTAACTTGATTTGCTGTGGTTACAGAGCGATTATTGTGAATAAGGTGATCACAGTGGCAGCATGCCTGCCACCCCTACTTGAAAAAAAAAATCAAAAACAGATGAGTTCAGCAGTAATGTCTCACAAAACAAATTTCATGTTGGTTTGACATTTCTTTGCCGCTCTCTCAGTAGAGGTTCCTTTGGGACTGGTCAAAAAAAAAAGTTCCAGCTAAGCAGAGGTTCTAGTGCAGAGACAGTTAGAAAAGGAAGTCTTCGAGTACATAACAATCTATTCTATTCTCTAGACAAGAATGAGATGTTCCTTTATCTAAAGAGGACTTTGTGTCATGTAGATTTTACTATAAATGTGGAAAAGGGGTGGGGAACGAGGTTGTGGGGGAGTGTGCTGACCAGTCATCTGGCTTCTCTGCGTCTGGATCATCGATGAGCTCCGACTCATCCTCCAACCAGCCGTCTGGCATGACTGCATCCTCATCAACGATGGTAGCTGGTGCATCTTCATCCCAGTCATCGGGCTTTGAGGCATCTGGGTCCGGTATCCTGAAGGACCAAAACAAATCGAACTGATAACTTGTGTGTTGCGTTTACAACTGCAAGTTATCCGACTTAAACACCATCTTGATCGGATACACGTAACTTTGTTCACTTATCTACTCAACATTATGTTCTCTACAATTGCAGAATTTGAATTCCAAATACCTCCATGGGCCACCTTTCAACCTCAAAAGTCTTGCGCTGCAATTTTTGGTTTCCCAATGTTTTGGCTTTCTTTACTCAAAGAGTTGAAATAACCCAATTATAAGCAAAGAGGCAACAAAGCAAGCAACGGAAAACAAAGAATTAAATGCATGAACAGCACTGGCATTATGTCATTAAGTACACGTCCTTCTCTTGGTAACTATAGCACAAGTAAGATTATCAAAGTTCCACCAGACAAAGCTGAAATAACAGCCAACATTTCAGTTAATTACACAGTTTTTCAGAAAATGCATTTTTATGCAGGGCTGTATGATTTTTTTCCTCACCAATCATACAAATTATACCAATTTGTAAATGTTCTTCACTCTGTAAAATGGCGACTGGAAGCAGCAAATCTGAAGGTATATTTCATTGATAATTACTTTTTCCTGTCATCCCAGTCTTCTGGTTTCTCGTCGTTGGGATCGTCGATTTCCTCAGGCGGATTGACCGGTGGCCTAAAATGATCAGATAGACAACAAGAGGGAACTTGAGCACTTTGTAAGTTTTTGAAATCACACATTTTCTACGTGTTACAGGAGATTCTCCAGAAAAATTGTTCAGGGCAAGTTAAGCTAGTAATACATTTCCCACAGCAATTATGCAACGTAGGACAAAAACTCTACACTCGAAACTGTGTCATTTAGGATTTCCCAGAGAATTCGAGCGAAGGCATTTCACAGACAATTGTGACTTGATCTGGGAATTCCTGTCAACAACTAGCAAACCTGAAAGAAAAAGATAACAGATAACCTTCACTAAACCTCTAAACATCTGAGTCACAGCTGGATACATGTAGATGCTCCAGACTGGTTCACATAAAATGTAGGGACAGGTAGCTGGTAATGAGGTCTGAAAGGAATTTCTCAAGGTTCCTATTAGTGAGGAAATTGACATAAAGATGCTCCCCTCATGTAAAAAACTAAACAGAATGAATGAAATATGAAATAAATTGAAATATTATTAATGGTTACGAGTTCAGTAAACCGGGTGTCCACATAAGTGCACCGAGATAAAAATTACCGTAATGGCAAAACTACATGTACTTTATATCTGGGAAAGAGAAATATAAATGTATCTCTAGAGAGGGCAGAATGTCCTCAAATGAGTGAACAAACTAGATTGATTTTAAGGTTACTGAAATCGGTACTGTGACAAATTTGCGTATTTGATTGACAAGGCTCAACCATGCAAGTGTACAGAATACCAAACGCCTTTGCTTTAAGAACGCATATGGTTTGTGGATAAATGTAACAGCGAGGAACAGTTTGTTCAATTCTTTATCACTGGAGATGGGGCAGGTTTTGGCATGAATGGAACAGATAACTTCCATAACGAGCATGTGTATGGTGGACTTTGTGATCCACCTGCAGCTGCGTCCTGTATGTATGAGTGAAACATGAGCAGGGAGAGGGTAAATGTCTGGGTTGGATGGTGCGGTAAGTGATCATTATTAGGACCGTTTTTCTTCCAAGCAAATTTAAATGGACAGGACTATTTGAATCTGATTCAATGAATCTGTGGTGCAAGCAGTTGAACAGATCTTCCTGAGACAATGACATGGAGCCTTCAGTAGCGTGTGGTGGGCTCAAGCTAGTGCCCCACCTCACAGGCTTGTTGAGGCAATGCCACAGTTTCAGAACCGTTTGGGGAACAGAGTAATTTCTGTTTAACAATGAAGTTTAATGGCTGCCACGGTCACCGGATTTGACACCATCCAATTTCTTTTTATGGGGTTAACTGCAGAACAATCTTTCCACTACGTTGTTAAGATGATGTATTGATTAAATAATACCCGTATAATTGTATTTAATATTTTTCAATGAGGAACATGGACTTTGTATATGAGGGAATTTCTATCTGAAACTGATTAGGGGCGAGTACTGTTAAACCTAAAGGGGCGAACAGTCTTATGCAAATTGTAACAATCAACATAACTTCGGAACAACTAAGCAGCAGGAATCTTCGGCGTGAAGAAGGCTTTGTCAGGAATGGCTCTTCGAGTATGAGGTGGGTGGATAAATGTTAGGGTGTGCCTTTCATCCTTCACCATCGGAACGGAAAGGATACTCCTAATGAGTCCTCAGGACTCACTCCATTTGAGTTAGTTTATGGCCATGAAGTTAGAGGCCCTCTTAAACTCACTGAAGAGAAATTCTTAGATGAGAATGAGGAAAGTCATCTGTTGGATTACATGTGCACGTTCAAGGAAAGACTTGTGAAGGCCTGTGAAAAAGCGAGCACAAATCTTAAGACAGCTGAGAAAGCAATGAAGACACAATTCGATGAGAGAAGTAGGGTTCGCAGGTTCAAGCCTGGAGATAAGGTTTTGGTGCTGTTACCCTTGCCAGGGGATCCTCTTTGAACAAGATTTAGTGGTCCTTCTCGGATAGAGGAAAGACTGAATGATGTCAATTATATTGTGCACACTCCAAGCAGAAGGAAAAGTAATCGACTGTGTCATGTTAACAGGCTAAATCCTTATTATGAGGGAGAAAATGTTGAACCAGTGGCTGTTAACTCAGTCCTGAGTGACACAGAAAGTCAGTTAAAGGACGGCCAGATTGAACCAGATCCAGAGTTTCCGAAATCCAAGGTGGATCCTTTATCCGCCAGGGTATCTAATTCAGACATCTGAAAAAACCTGGATTAAGTGTTTGATTATTTACCTGAAAGTCAGAGAGATGACATCGTGCGTCTAATTGAAGAATACAAACAACTTTTTGGATGAACTAGGCAAAACCTCTGTAGCTACTCATGATGTGGATGTAGGTGAAAGCGGGTTCATTAAACCACATCCTTATCGACTTAATCCTGAGACACTAAAAGTTGTAAGAGAAGAAGTTAGATATATGTTGGCGCAAGACTTGATTGAGCCAAGTCATCGTAGCTGGAGTTCCCCTGTCATTTTGATACCAAAGACAGGTGGATTACAGAGGTTCTGTTTTGATTATTGTAAAGTGAATACCGTAACCAAGACTGATTCGTACCCAATTCCTCGAATAGAAGATTGTATCAAGAAAGTAGGAAAGGCCAAGTATGTCAGTAAAATCGATCTACTAAAGGTATCAGCAGGTTCCTTTAACAGAAAGAGCACGTGACACATCCGCTTTTGTCACCCCCGGTGGCTTATATCAATGTAAGGTTATGCCTTTTGGCATGAAGAATGCCCCGGCAACTTTCCAAAGACTCACGAATAATGTCATTTAGGGGCTCGATAACTGTGTTGTGTACATAGACGATATAGTTGTATACAGCAATAACTGGCAGGAGCATGTCAAGCACATTAAAACTTTGTTTGATGCACTGAGCAGGGCAGAATTGGTGATAAACTTGAAAAAGAGTGAGTTTGCAAAAGCCTGAGTCACATATTTGGGACACATTGTAGGCCAGGGTCTAGTTTACCTTCGAGAGGCAAATGTTAAGGCCATTGCAGATTTACCGAATCCTGACAACAAACGGGAGTTACGTAGAGTTATTGGAATGATTGATTTTTATCGAAAGTTTGTTAGAAATTTAGTGACATTGTAGCTCCACTGATCAATTTGCTGCAGAAAAACACGAAATTTGTTTGGTCGGAGAAATGTCAAAGATCACTCGATCGATTGAAAGCAGTCTTCAGTAACAAAACCGTGTTAGCTGCCCCAAATTTTGAACGACCTTTCAAGATTTTTGCTGCAAGAAAATGAAGACAAAGTAGAACGCCCAGTCAGTTATTTTTCTCGGAAATTAACCAGACATCAAAAACGGCATTCCACAATGGAAAAGGAAACACTGAGTTTGATATTGACTTTGTAGCAGTTTGGTGTTTATGTAACTTCGAGTGCAGGTGACGTAACAGTATACACAGATTATAACCCTCTTGTCTTCTTGGATAAGTACAGAACTAAAAACCAGGGACTTTTCCGCTGGAGTCTCTTGCTACAACCATATCCTTTGGAGTTTGTTCATGTAGCTGGCAAAGAAAATGTGATTGCCGACGCACTTTCTCGGTTGTAGGAGAACCAAATGAAGGTTATGAAAGTATTTGTCTCTCCAAGAAAAAGTATAAAAAATGAGACTGAAAAAGAAGGATTTTTCAGGGTAAATTTTTTTTTAAGGTGCGGAGGTGTTAAGATGATGTATTGATTAAATAATACCCTTATAATTGTATTTTTCAGTGTGGAACATGGACTTTGTATATGAGGGAATTTCTATCTGAAACTGATCAGGGGCTAGCAGTCTTATGCAAATTGTAACAATAGACATAACTTCGGAGCGACTGAGCAGCAGGGATTTTCGGCGTGAAGAAGGGCATGTCTGGAATGTTTCTTCGAGTATAAAGTGGGTGGGTGGATGAATGTTAGGGTGTGCCTTTCATCCCTCACCATCGGAACGGAAAGGACCGTGAGCTTCACGATTGTGCCCAACGCCAGCTGTTCAGGGGAGTTAACCTCTGGGGCACAAGCCTGGGAGACCGCCGCCAGATGGAGTGACGATGGTCCTTAACGTCACGACGTGAACGGCCATGTTGAGTTTGCATTGTAATAGTGCTGCCTGGTCTGTTTTGGCGACTTCGTCTGACTTTTGGGCTTGGATCCGAGTCTCCAGAACCAGAGGCCATCTCTGGATTATTCGACGTGCGTGAGCTTATTGTAAACGGCCGTGTTGACCCACTAACGGGAGGGCCCGTTAGTAACCCTTCACCCCGTACTTCACCTAGAATCGTCTAACAACAAGAATCAAGAACCCGAAGAACAGAACTTTGAAATTTCCATTTAAGTTTGTTGTCGCAGTTTACCCCTCCCAAATCACCTTGCATCCAAACTGACGGACAATTTAAACTATGACCTTGTCTGTGATTTAATATGTTCCGTCGATTGTATTATTTTTTTGAGTGGTTTAATATATCAGTAATTGTTGAATACAGAACGAGAGTGAGAACTGGTTTGCTTTCATTTGTGTCTGCACACTTTGTTTTGGTTCCCCTCTGAGAAGTGAATCTAAAATAAATGAGGGCTGGGTTTACTCTTCAGGGTGGGGATCATAACAACATCCCCCGCCAATGTTCAGGAGTTACTTGCAAGAATAGTGGAGGGAGTCAATAATCTCCATCAAGACCCTGAAATGATCAGATGAGCAGTAAGGGACATGCTACAAATATGCCAGATGTGCATTGACGGGAATGGCGGCCATAGGGAAGGCACAGCACATTAAACTTATGAGGTAATTGGCAAAAACAAGGCAGATTAGATTGATTTGGATACATTCCCTGTTTTCAAGAATGCGTTACTAAAGCAAAGGCATGTGGTATTCTGCACACTAGCATGGTTGAGCCTTGTTAATCAAATATGCAACCTTGTCACAGTGCCAGATTTCAGTACCCTTAACACCGGTCTAGTTTGCTCACTCATCTGTGTCAATAACATCACAAACTGTATACCATTGCATTGAGGTCATTCTGCCCTTTCTAGACATGTACTTCCCTTTCCCATACATGAAGCAGTTTTACCATTACAGTAATTTTTATCTTGGTATACTTTTTATATGGACACCCTATGTATCGGCTGTTCGTGTCCCAATTAAGCAAGATAAGCACTGAAGTTACAATACAATGATTCTTAAAGCCCCATCACAATCAAACAAAATCTTACGATGTCCTTATAAAATCGGAACAGCATGGCCAATCGTGGTGAGATCTTGTACATCTTAGAAAGAACTCAGTGGTACCTGATAGCAATGTGGGAAGGGCTTCATAGACGGGGAGGTCATGCCAAAATTTTGGGCAGGTTCAAAATTTACATAGCTGAGTCGTAGTGGCTTCAACTCACAGTGTCAGCAAAGTAACAACCTAGTAAAGATGGCGTTCACGTAGTTAGGGCATATGAGCACTGTTGTAGGATCTTTCTAGACGTGGTACAAGGGGAACTTGATTGGGAAAGATTTTATGCCGTTCCCACCAGAGAGCTGATGGGGTGCACTGTTTCCACCAATGTATACAGGAAATGCTTGGAAACATGATGGCAGCTTGCTACAAGCATACCATACACGTTATAACAATGTATTAACATCGTACTGCGATCTTTTAGGCCATAATACAATCATACCAAAAGTCTTTTACATCGTGAAATGATCCGATTGCATATTTAGCAGAGTCGGCACTCACGCTCAGTTTAATTGTGCTGAGAACAAAAGGCGAAATTCATCCGCATGCCAGCAATGCAGTAGCAACCTAGTACGATCTTGAAAGAACAATGTTTCGCCAAAATTTTCGTCCTGTCCTAGCCACGTTTTTAATGAAATCTTACCAACTGGGGTCTTCCTGGCTGTGGTCAGAGTGTGATGGGGGCATTAGGAGCTAACCACAGTGTCAGTATTTTGAATTATTCACTGGTATCTGTGCGTCACATGGCTCAAAAAAGCATTCAGTGCAATCAGCTTTACAGTACAGTGCTGATGTTCAAAATTCAACAAACAGGTTAATCACAGCGGTTTAATGCAAATTGCTAGCACTTCCTACAATTCATTAATGATTGGGATGGGTACCAGTCAATAGGTACTCCAAGTATCTCCAATCCAATGTTTTCTGGACCTTAGTCTTTTCACAGATCCAGGTCTCTTTGCCTGGTCTTGCTTCACATCTTTTGGACTTTTCGCCCTGGCGTTTACTTCATCTTACACAAGCACCCCCTGGGGACAGTTTGCTAGCACACCATCCCTGCCCTCCCTCCCAGTTTCTACCGCCCCGTTTTTCAACTTACGTCATGTCTTCAAGGAGATTTCCTGAGCTGACGCTGGCCTGGTCAACAAAGATCTCAAAGTTGTTGTCTGTGTTCACCACTGGGAAACCAAACCCAAAGAATGACAACAGGAATGGATTAAAAAAAGGTAAACTCTTGAATTTGAGCAAATATACTTTGTGCAAGAATGGAAGATGCAAAAGTAAAGTGCCCTTTGTTTAGTGCACCACAAGTCCGTGGCGGCAAAGAGAAAAACAGCAAACTGAGCTCTCTGTTTCGATGGAATCATTCAGTGTGGCACCTTGATGGAAATGGTCACTTATGGGGCTGAAAAAAAGGCTGTGGGTCCCTACTGATTTACATTTTTCAAGACTGTTTTTACAGGCCACAAATTTAAAAGCAGCTCTCAACTTCCTGCTCATTTCCTTAGGTCAGGTCACAATTTCATAGTACCATTTATTTTGTAACTGGTAATATTTTATAAAAAGGAGGGACGCTATCACTTTTGGTTAAAATCTTCATTTTTAAGAAAACTAAAAATTCTGCTCCTAACTCATAACCCAATTGCAGCACGGCAGTAAGTCTATTTTAACCAATCTTCCTTCCTAACTTACCAAGAGTGAAAAGATGCGTTTTCTTGTCAGTGAAGATGCGAGCAAAGTTGCCGGACGGCTTCTTGGCATGCTTCTCCTGCAAGTACAACACGTAAAGTTACACAAGTCAACACTGCACTGCCACGCAAAACCATTCTAGAATCCAGAACACTATGCTGGCTATGTAGGAAAGCACTGTTGCACTGAAAATTCACAACTGTCCCCAATGTGTTACTGTAGTTTGGAATTGTGCACTTGCAAAACAAATTTTACGCATGATTTTCTCAATTAGGTCTCATGAGACTAGAACAATGCCAACTTCCTGGTTAAACAAAAGCCTTGAAAAAAAGTAGGGTGTTTTTCATTTTATTCATAAGTTAATGGAATACAGCCAATAACAAACTGTAACAGTGCATTACCCTTAATAATAAACATACATCAGAAACCAAGGCTAGTTATTTGAGTTTTCCAACAGTGATTGGTACAGACTAGAGTTGTAGACTTGAATCACTTGACTTGGGCGAGTCGGGCTCGAGTCGCTATTTTTGTGACTTGTGGCTTGACTTGTAACTATCAGTTTTTGACATGTCACTTGACTTGGACCTGCAAAATTGCCTCGTGACTTGACTTGGAAAACTAACGAGGTCTGCTATTTGTAGTAGTGTAGTAGTAACCATGGAAATTGTTATCACACAATAAATTGTAAGTGCACATCTGTACGTGTAAATTAATCAAGCGAGTTAAGTTCATTTGTCTAAAACTTGTAAGTCTTATGTTGATGCCCGGCCCCGTTTACTTATCACAGTTAGATAAAACAATGAGTGATTTGACTTGCACTTGAACAAAAAAACTTGAGACTTGCTCATGTTTGGACCAAATTGACCTCATTTGACTTGACCTGGGATCAGATGACTTGTGACTGGAACCAACTGGCGGTGACTTGGCTTAGACTTATAAAAAATTGACTGGCGACCACCTCTGGTACAGACTGACTGTGGGACTGTACGTTAGTAAAATAAAGCCAATGGAGGAATGCTGCTTGTGACTGATCTTACCTCATACGCTCCAGTGACTGGATTCTTGTGTCTGAAGATGAAATGTAACTGCAAAATGGAAGGACAAATTTACCAACGGTAAATCCATGTCAATTTTACTGGTCCGTGCCAGCATGCAAAGTCAATAGATGCAAATATGCAAATACAGCAAATGCACTTGGAAGCGTTACAGAACCATGACCAACAGGTGTCTGGCTTACCTTTTGATCATTTCCACACTTGTCAGGTCCAAACATGATGGTGTAAGGGGTTTTGTCCTGCATGTTTTTCTGGAAGGGAATGAATAATTTGTCACTCGCAAAGAAGTTGAAAAAGAGAACAATTTCCTGGCCGGAGCTTTTTGTTTTTTCCTTTACTTGCCACGGAGCATGACAGTGAAAATCTTCCCATAAATACAACTGCAATTATCACACGGTGTCTTAGATACTGCAATTCACAGGTCAGAAAAAAACACAAGTCAAGTTTCCAAGAACCATCACTGGCTCGAAGACAAAGCTTGAATCTGCTTGCATATTGACTAAAACAGTAGCAATTAAATCACACATCATATACAATCTTGCATGGCAATAGCTTTGAAGAACTTTCGAGCAAGAACTGTAAAGTTGTCATTTCACTGCTACCCGTTCGTTTTGGAAATATTGCTGCAAGCACAGTATGCTTGGGAGCAGCTAGGTAGCCCACGATAATATTTTAATCAATCTTACCAAAAGTGCAATACAGCCCTCAGGTGTGAAAAAAGCCCATGTCCCACAGTGACATCATTCAATCATTATAAGCTGATACAAATGCAGAGATGTCAACTTTTCAACATGAAAAAGTGTAATCCTATCGCACTTCTAATTCCGGTTTCCCAACTTACCCTAGTTTTTCAGCGCAACTCTAAAAATTTTCATCGGCAAATTAGAAAAAAATTGTTTTTAAGTTTTTAACAATGTTGTTGTCTTTTCTTTCAAAACAAACACCTGTCAACGACTTCTTTTCATATAGAACACTTTTATTTATCCGACTAGCATTGTGCAAGTGTGAACTGTAATTAATTTTTGATTGTATTTCCACATTAATTCAGGTTTTTATTCTAACCACCTTTGTGGCAATTCTTGGCAATTTTCATCCCATTCAATCAGCACAGAAAATTGTCAAAAATCCTTACCTACCAACCCTATTTAATCGGAAGCAGAGCTATTTTTTCTTGGCCTAACTAATGTGCTTCTTGATATCGTATGATCCAGCGTGGGCAATATTTATCATGTCACAGTTACATACGTTGCAATACCAGTAAGCTTCTCCACGACAAGACTTTGCAATAAAGGCCTATTTTTGTGGTGTACATCATTCGTCCCTGAACTTCGGCTCACTTGTTGTCACTGTGGAAAACAAGTCCAGTTGCTCACCAAATATCCAAGAATCAAATCCTTGACAGTCCTCCCACTCCGGTCAACTTTAGCACAATCATGATGTCTGACACACGTGTACGATATGGCTATATGTACAATGCACAATCACGTGCCTATTCACTCCCTGTTCATCATAGCGTTAATTGGTGCGAACGGATGATTCAACCACGCTGGTTTCTACCGCTACTCACGCAGCTTGTATTCACCAACTGCGGGATGCCAGCGATACATTTCTGACGCGTGCATTACGAGGCTGGCTCCGCGCTAGCTTACGTAGAGTTTATGCACAACTGTATGGTTTTGTACCTTGGAGTTGGAAATCATAAAAATCTTAGTCTGGATTGTACAATCATAAATCGACTAAATATATCGTAAAAATTACGCCTAAGTTGTACAAGTTGGCATCTCTGAAGAGGGCACACTTTCCCCACAGAGCAGTGGCAACAGCCATGCCCAGAGGCTGGATCGGACAGTTCAGTGCCCAACTTACCAACTCCAAGTCTGGAGTTTGGGACAGCAGCTTGATGTAAGCACCGCCGCATTCCATGCCGTTCTGGAACTTCACTTCATATCTGTTGGGAAAGAAGACAACCCCTAATCAATTACATGTAAGCTGCACCTGCTTTGAGCAGCAGTGGTGTTCCTGAGGAGGATAGGTTGCCACAATTACAAATACTTCCATCTTCTGGTTTGCTTCAGGTCGATGCAAACTATTTAAGGTTCCAGGACCATTTACTGACAGGATATTTAGGGGTGACAATTTTCTTGGTGCAAAAAATGCTGGCACTGCTTGGTTGATGAAATCTTTGTTTCTATTTTGAAAATGAAAGAAAATTACACATCAAAAACGAAGAACTGAAGCTGTCTGTTTAGGTTACCAGTTTATGTATGAAGAACATCTTCAAAAGATGAATGCAAAGATTGATGCATACTTACTGCACAATAAATGGCTCATCATCAAATACGAATGGCTTGTCCAGCATCGCTCCGATTGCATGATGCCTGGCTTTGGACTGTTAAACGAAAACAAGTTTTCAAAGCTTGAAATGGCATTTTTGAGGGGACTGGTTTGCTATTAAGAACATCATGAAAATTTCACACCTCATAAGTTTGAGAAAGCGTATGCTCAAAAGCCTACAAAACCGACAAAAAGCTGACAATAATCTACACAGTCATACAAGTACAAGGTATTTACTATCTCCTGACAGAAAATGAATTTAAATGGAAATGAACTATTTCAAAATGCAGGTAAACACAACCACAATCATGGTTCCATTCCTGTTACAAAGACACTGTTATAAATGACAAAACAATGCACAACAACTCTTTGAAAGTGTGGGGATAGCCGAACTGGAAACGCTTCTTATTATTAGCTGACATACGGTGCATGTAACACTGGACGACCAAATGATCAGTAACTTCACGTTTACATCATTTTTTTTTAAAAACGGTATTCGTTACATGGACATCAAGAACAGGTGCACTGTGGCTATGACCAGATGAAGTCTAAAATGTCATACATATTTCGGTGATATCTTTATAGGGCATCGTACTGCATTCTGAGTTCTTAAGGATGCAACACAGGTTCAGAATGCTCACACATGTACATGTATACTCGCCCATCTGTTAAGACCTCGTGCTATTCCTTGAGGTGGCCTAGAATCACATGTAAACTTCTGATACATCCAGTCAAACTAGCAACAGCCCATTCCAGCCCATTGTACATGTAGATCACCCTGCAGAGGCAGGTCCTCCAGGTTAAATCAACCATTCCATGTTTCTGGCCACTCACCTTGAGTACTAGGCCAAGATCACCCTGCAGAGGCTGGTCTTCCGGCTCTTCTATCGACCACTTCCCATCGTACTTGGCCAAGTCTGCATCCACTCCGTCCTTCTTGGCTGAAGACTGTACCCATCTGGACAAAAAGTGAAGACACCACAAAAAAAAACAAGTCAATCCCATGACCTTTGGTTAGTTTTCCATACAATGTGTTTCAAAAGACGGGAAAATCAAGACACGTGTCTGCTTCACAAGTTTAATCCAAGACCATTGATTAACTGGTACACATGTGCCAGACTGCAACTACTGAAGGACTGACTTCTCTCATCACAAAACAGCCGAATGTCATCACAGCAAATCAGTCTTGGTTCCTGGCTGAACGTTAGGATACAGTGTATACAGCTATTGATAAACAGTGGTATGATAAATGACAAGAGGCTGGCCCTGTATAGCAGCTTAAGATAGTCTAACTACTGCAGCCAACTGAGGATAACCTACAATCACAGAAGCTCTCAAAGTTAATGTTTTACTGACTTAATTGGTGTCACGGCAGTTAACTGAACTGAGCGACTGTGCCCACTAAGTCACGTGACCTACATGCATAATAAGTATTAAACATGATGTCCTCTCATAGCACAGTGTATCATACATGTAAGTGTCATTAACCAAATATAAAGCTGATAGATGGCAAAGTATTATTCTAAGCTTCATTTTTGACAAACAATCCTTCAAAACACATTTTGTTATGCAAGGACACCATGTTTGTTGATGTTTGATATCCACTTTACGGTCAGGTGACTTAGGGGGCACAATTGGTCTACTGCAACTTCAAAAACTTGGCTAATTGCTCCGGAGTTTCAGTCACCACATGAAATCAATTTAATTTGCACAAAATTGTGACCTGAATGCCTCAAGGCAAGAGACTTAAAAATTAATAACGTACCCTTTGTACAGGCACACTAACTACGTACGAGGAGCCATGTATGAAATTCAGGAATTGAGGAATTCCGCACTACATGTACAAAAGACAAGGTGCCAAGTTTTTCAACGGCATCAAGTGAAATTTGATAGCAGCGATCAGCTTGTCTAAGGAATAGACTCACATCAACACGCCGCCAATGTTACCGCAACAGCAACAATGCCAGTTCACAGTCAGTGAATGCAAGGCGAATTTGATGTCAAGAAACAAAGAAGGTGCAGTTCACTCGTATTGAGATGTGTCCAACTTTTGCCAACTTGCGGATTAATCTCCGACTTTACATCTCACAAACGGTACAACATTGCCCTTAGGGATGTCGACGTTTTAGAACAACACACTGATCAATGACGTGCAGTGAGTACCTCTTTCCTATGGCCGATGCATCCAGGAAGGCATCGTGGAAATTGGTGGGGCCCTTGGCACGCGGGGGGACGTATTGCACTATGACCTTCTCCTTGACGACTTCTGGCTCGGGTTCATCCTCGATGTCCACCTCGTCTCCCATGTCAAAGTCTTCCTCATCTTCCTCGCCATGCACCGGGCAGCAGTCCAGCACCACAGCCAGGGCAACAAGGCACCACCAAAGCCTCATCTTGAATATCTCCTGAACACCATGAACGAAAAAAAAAAACAAACACCTGAATCAGGTTTACAGTTCGTGAAATTTCAGCTCATAAAATGTAGAGGATGTCGGGGGGAGGGGGGGGGAGTAAAACGTGGTGTGTATCCTGAGTGGGGTACACAAGAGGGCCTTGTTTATGGATCTAGACCTAGCCAATGAATGTCATACATATGCACATGTATCATGTAGCACTGCATCACGTTCACCGTTAGAGCAAAGACAGAGCAAGGGAAGCACTGTGTTAGAATACCCCTAGAATACCCCCCTTAATCATCTATCCCACTTTGTAGCTGGCTATGGTATCATGCATGCATACTGGTTTGCTTCAGTCTCAGACAGGGGAGAGTTCTACATGTACCTTGTAGCCATGCAATGTCGTAGCACCAACAGGGTAGTCGGATTGGAGTTAGATTTTTTTCAACACTCCCCATTTATTCCCTGTTGCTTCATTCTCAGATAGGGGGAGTTCCACCTTGAAGACTCTCGTCATCAAAGCGTTATATGGACAATATTAGAGATGTGCCTGGCTTTGACTGCACAGCCATTCATTTCTAAGGGGTAATTTTCCTGTTGCTGGGTATTCTCCTACTCCATCCCTGAGCGTTTGAACAAATACCTGTGTTGGGTGAGATCAGTCGATTTGCCCAAGTGCTCAATCTTTGTGCAATCTGCCAGTCTTACTGTATGGTTTGCCACTGTTTGCCAACAATCCTACCCTCAGCCAATCTGCTCTTCCTTCTAATTCAGTTGTGGAAAATTGTAAAAAAAAAATAAAAGAATTCCATGTACAGGAGCCACTAATATTTTCCTGAAGTGACGTTCAAGGCCTGGGGATTGTATATTTGGGGACCCCTCTGTCATGTCAGTTTCTAACATTCTTACAAAAAAGGTCAGTCCCCAAAGGTGTACAACCTTTGGCATTATTTTCTTAATTATTCTTAATAATTACTTTTTTGGTAACTTCAGAACAGTAAATCTGAAGCACATGTGACTTTCTTACACAATTTTGTTTCTCAACCTTGTTCCCTTCACAACCGTTAGTGCATGCACTTTGCTATTTTTACCCTAACCACCTAGGCCCCTTTGGCTGGATTCACCCCAATCCTTCAAAATCCTCCAACAGCCCCATGACAAAATTGGATACAGCCTCTGTCTTCCCAAATCCTCCGATATTTCTAGAATATGTTCTGTGGACTAGGGGGTGCCCACTACCTCAATCCTTCAAAATCCTCTGGAAATTCCTCTCATTACACACATTTTTAGGCAGTGTGAATGGTACCCTGAAGCAGTATGGAGGATTTCACATATTAGGCATGAATTTATGCATGGCTGAATGCAACACTAGGTCTAACCCACAACCTTGAGACAATGCATCTTTCGAAATCAGCAGGGCAATTTTGCCATGCAGTTTCAATCCTCAAAAATCCTCCAAAACCGCCTGGAGGATTTTGAAAGATTGAGGATGGTTAGGGTTGAGCTTGGTTTCCAAAAGAGAGCAGCTACATGTAGGAACACTGTCCAACATAAGGGGGATGAGGTTGCTTCCTTTGCCTGCTTTGACCAATCAGAAATTGGCTTTTTACTGGAGCTTTTCAGCAACCAATCAGCAACATTCTACGTGTACCAAACCAGCTTGGACACTACTGCCAAGTTTACATTCAGAGCGTGCGTACACTTTGTGCATCACTGCATGTTTTGTGTTGTTGTCATCGTTTTTACCCATAATTCCCCTGAAAAACCCAAACCATGCCCATTTACCACAAAATTGATTCCACAATTATTCAGCTTAAAATTATCATTCAACATAAAGCCATCATTATCGAGGCTTACATTTAGCAATAGAGATGCACATCACAACTCGGAGACTGCCCATAAACTCTGAAAAGTCCCTTTATTCAAGGACGAAATCAGTCTCCCAAAAGAGAGAAAAACAAGTCTGGTCCAAGCCAATTTGGCTCATCAGGCCAGAGTTCATCTCCGGTTTCCTTGACTGAGAATATTTCTATTCCTTCTGGAGGGGATGCCAGTCCATCGTAGGTTGCTTCTCAAGTTAATGCTGGTATCCATTTATACTCCTGGGTGGAGAGAGGCAAGCAGGGGTGAAGTGGCTTGCCAAGGGCCACAGCATACTGCCAGCAGCTGGATTCGAACCTCCAACCTATGACTGGCAGCCACAGACCCTAACCACTTGTCCACATGTATCCCAAAGAGTGAACGCCCTTTAAATAGGGACAATTTTTCAAGTGGGCTTGGTGATCCTACATTTGTACCATTGCCCTGGGGATCCTTTCAATGCCTTAATTGGATTCTGCAGAAGAAAACACCCAAGGCTGCCGTTTCAAAAGAATTCTACTGTTTACTTCTAAGATTACATTTACAAGCAGGTGTCTGCAATGGGAAAAAAACTGCATCAAAACAATTTTTCTGAATACCAAACCTTCACATACATAGTTAATCAAGTGACATGGCGAAAAGTTCATAAAACAACTTCGATAATTGATATAAATGGAAAATATTGGAGAAAAATTTATAACAGCATGTAGATATTTTTTATCCTAGCCCACTTTGGAAAAAAAATCCTCTTTTAAGGAGCCATTCTCTCTTTCTGGGGACTTGTTTTGTCTTCAAATGAAGAGACCTCTCCGAATATATATAGGGACAATCTCTGACTGAGTTGTGATGATGTGCACCAATAGTACTACTAGGTCCCAACAGGCCCAGACAAAGCAAACCTATTTTCATGACATGATTTTCCGTTCTATCATGTCTATAACAAATAGGAACAAGGTTTGCAAATACACAAACCCCAAAGGCCTGGCAATCTGAAAGAAGAAAAATTGTCAAAAAGTCAAATTTATTTAGCAGTTAAAATGGCCTATGACAGTAGTACGTGCAGGCATGGCAGGCTGTACATGGGGCCTTGGCCTGTCTTAAAATATAACTTTGTTTGACATGCTAGACCACGCTCCCAGGGTGTCAAGTGGTGTTCACAGGCCTGGGGCCTATATGGATTTTTTTCTATTGCAAAAGGGAAATAAAGTTGGAGATTTCATAAAGCGACTCGACCGATTGACCGAGCCTACCTCCATGCCCAACCTAACCTGCTAACGTTACACGTAAAGTAGTGAAGCCTTAGCTGACGCTCCTAACATTTAACAAGTAACATAAAAATAACTGGGGCCTTTAAGCCCTATATTTTCTTCTGTCAAATGAACTTTCTCTTGCTCATTTACGTTTCTGTAATTTTGCTGCCTTTCTACCTCCATGTTCTGACTACCTACCTTTGTTTCCCTTTAAGTTAACAACGGTCTTTGCAGGAACAGTGGAATCCAGGACAGAAAGCCTACTCGATGTTACACACAATGATCATGTACATGTACTTGTACTTTGCACGGTCGATCAACGCTAGCGCTAAACGTATGCAAACGCGTGGAGCAACGTGAATGGTCGCCGGATCTGTACCGTACGAAACATGTGCCAGAGCAGTAAAACTGATGATTTATTTGTAATTCTAAAAATGTTTTTTAATTAAAAAAGAAACTTTTCAATGTTCAAATTTTTAATTACTATTTATTTTTATTGAATTTAATTTTTTTTAATGCTTTAATTATCACAAATAAGTATCGATTTTTTAAATAATTTCCATTCATGACGTTAGATTTATAAATTATTGACTGTAAACTCATAGTCTCTTCTCCAGACAGTTGAGATTGTGTGTAGAGATCAGCGGTTTGAACGAACAATCGAACCAACGAAAACCCTTGATGTATTGAGGGCGCACTCCTAGAAGGCCGTGGACGGGCGTCTGGCTCGCAGAAGGGACCGTCCCTTTTTATCATACTGATCAACCCTAAGATTGATACATGTTTTCGATTTTCTGGAACATTCAAAATACATAAATTCAGCGTCGACGACGAAGTTAAAATTTGGAAAACCTCCGAAGTGGGCACGATCCAAAATCCACTGCTGCAACTGAGTTGGAAAATTGGCGGCGGCCGAGGCAAAAAACATAATTAGTCATTTTGTAAATGTTATTAATGCATGCTTTAAGCAACTGTCGCTGCTGGAATGACAGAAAGATCTCGCAGTGTTAGAGTGTACCTTGTATACTCTCAACTTTAATTTAATTACCACCGATCAGGCCAACCAGAATTACTGCAATCATTGTAAGTATGATATTAAAGTTTCGCTCTCCTAGCCATGCATGATAGACTTTATTATAGCTGATATCACAGACTGCAGTACTCTTGCATGAACATCATATTACCCTTTGAACTTTCTGATTCCAACTGCTCCCTGATGAATGGAAAAAGGCCCAAATACAATGGCGCCCTCTTGGGTTTCATGAAACTGTAATTAAAATACGACTCCCCGTAGCAAGATACCTTTGTCATGAAATACATGCAAATTTGGATAACCTTTAAGTCTATTACAAGGCTTTGGAAAATTACATTTTAAAGATGTTACAAAAGCTCATGTGCGCCTGCTAGTGGAAAAGATGCTTTACAATATGCCGGCGATGCTACCAGGCTGCTCATACCTGCGAAAGTTAACCCCTTCCTAGTTGCTTTCTTCAGACAATTTCCCATACATAAGACCAGGCCTGATGCGTTTACAGGAAAATCAAGACAATTAACTTTCGGGTTTTTAAAAAATTATTCCGTTTACAGAAATGAAAATAAGACATGAAAAGACAGCTACACATTAATAACCAATGACAAAACTGTACAAAGAAAACAAAACAAAGCCACCTGGAGTGTATATCTCGTTTTCACTTTATAAACATATTAAGGCAAACCATTGTCTATCTCCATCACACTAACGTCAGTGTTCAACTGATAAACATTGTCTATCAATAACATGTTTACAAAACTGATTACACAAAAGAGCTTAATGTTTAGCTTAATTGCAGGTTTGCAGCGTTGTCACTGGTACTGAACCGATGTCTATATTTTCATTCAGAAGTTTACAAAAATGACAGATTTCAACCTATACTAACGTAAATCTCACACTACAAAGTGCCACAATCATCCATGACAGGGGGCATACTTTACCCAGCATAAATCTAATAACTATGTAAGTAAATGAGTAATCCAAATATTACGAAAAATATTACTATGCCTTATATCTATGAAACAGTCTGAATTGAATCGAATTTCTTCCATTTTTCCTGATTAAAAGAATTTTTAACCCATTGGCATTACGCTTTCTCAAAAGATGAAGCATGTTGATTTTTAAGGTTACTTCTATAGACTTATGGATAAGTCAAAATTGAAACGACAGTCAACAAATTTTTTAAGGATGTTGTTTTTTGAAATCTCAAGCTGTGGTCAATTAATGTTAATATATAGGTCTAGTTTTGTTAATTTGGTATTTCGTCCCAGGATTCAGGCACAGTACAGTCTGCTTCATGCAACCATCGCTGATGTGCAGATAGGCTGGATTGCCGCCATTTCATTGCGGTACGCGTGGACGGTATGGATTGTCTTATTCCTGGAGAGGGATGGGTGAAGAAAAGAGTACGAACATGCTAAGAGTTACTTTCTCTTGCCTTTTGAAGAAAGAAAGCTCTTTGATTCTTAGTATCTCGTCCTTGTTTAAACTCGAAAAACACTGATTATCATACGAGGGATGAGTCTCTCGTACAAGTTTTGGTTTTAAAAATGCATTGCGTTTTTTTTTTACTAATTTACTTTCCCGTTTACTGGTAATTTTATAAAATCTTAATATTGTAGTATTTTATTAACGGTCATTCATTTTAGTGTAGCTTTTAAAGTTGATTTTCTTTATGTAGTATGACGGGGCCTTAAGGAAGACTACCGTTTTGGTGAATAAGCTGCCCTGGATAAACATGACTAATAATGATAATACTAAGTTAGTTTGTCAGCGTTAGTGGTTTATTTGAAAAAATCTGAACGAACTTGTACCAAAGCCCCCACCATTATTTGCTGACCCCCCTCACACGATCCAGTCTCCGTTCTATATGCAACTTCGTTCCTCAATCTTGTACCAATAAAAAGCCGGCCGGATGAAGACAGTTAATTGCACACTTACCTTGACTGTGATAGTGAACGAGCAAAGGGTTTTCCGTTTGTTGCCACAACGGTCGGTTGCAGAGTACTTAATATGGTAAGGGGAATCGGAGACAGTGAAGTAGCCACCATTACGCTGGCAGGTGTCTTCTCTATCGATACTGTGAAAAAGAAACAGATATTTTAATAAGACAAACTCTTGGTGTTCATGAAATACGAAATGTTCAGACCAATGCGAAATATTCACACCAATTAATCTCCCATTTTCAGTCTTGACATCTTTCAAAAATTATGGATGCCTTTCCTCCAATAAGTTACTTCACTTTCTGAAAAAGAGTATGGATGTTTTTCTTCCGAACAAGTTACTTCCTATTCTCAGCGCCTCAAAACGTTTTACGTCAAACTTCACATGCAAGATATCAGTAACTTTCAAATTAACATCATGTTGTTGATAATTTAATTTTCACTGTTAGCAACAATCGGAATAAATCTAATGCGCGAAACTAAAAACATAATTCCAAAGATGTACTAATGCAATGTGAAATAAAAAAAAATGTTCATACAAAACAGAAAATAAGTCTTTCTGCATGATGGTAATCGGTACTGTTCATCGATGCTTAAAAATTCATCAGTAGAGAGCGCAGTGAAAATCTAATCTTCTGTCACGATTTAGAAACCTGCAGGAAAATCTACGAAATGCCGCCCCTTCTAATCCAGACAGGAAACTTTATTTTTTTTTTACTTTTTTGTTTTTGGAAGAAAAAATTTGTTTCCTACCTGACTGGACGGCATGCGTCATCTGCTTCCGGTTCAGTCCATTGAACATTCTTGCCCGTCTGTGATCGATCCACGCGCACAGTCATAGAGGATCGACAAGTGCCATCCTTCAGTGTCGGTGGGTCTACATTTGGGTACGGTGTCAAAAAGGTAAAGACAAGGATTAATTCAGTAACAAGCCACGGGGGGGGGGATTATTTTGCATTACTAAATTCACGCATGTCCGTCTAACTTAGAGAAAGCTAGGTACTTCAAGTTTAAGAGAAATGCCATTGCTGCTGATTCTCAAAGGAAAACCCTGGATGGGATCATGAAATTAAATATACTCGAATTCACATTACATGAAAACAAACATGTTTTTTCTAATGATATCTGAAAACAACAGGACATTTCTTTGTGGTTTAATTTTATTTTGTTTTTTAATTGCAATCTTCTATTAGTTCAACAAAAAGTCTACGCTGTTTCGTATACACCAAAGGGTGCGGCAGATGCATTTTAATTAAGCATCAGCCACAAATAATTTTTCAGTTCGGTAAGACTCCTACACGAATTGTACACCCAAAATGTAGCCCTATGCAAACATTTTAATCATAGACTGTGCATTGGCTGAACTTTTGAAAAATACGGTATTCTGGCAATCTTCGGGAAAATGTGCAAGACCGTCTTTGGATTCATAAAAAAAAACCAAAAATCAAAATACAAGACAGAATAACTTCAGAGGGAGTTACCACTGATTTTTGTGAACCAAGTACGATTCTAGCTTTTTTCTCCCCCCCCCGTCGTCTCTCCCTCTCTTTTGCCTTGTTTGTTTGTTAGTTGAGAAAACGTCTGAACCGACGCCACGCAGAGCAGAGGTATCATGATGGAGGCAAAACAGTATCAGAATTAAGCTGATCCCACTGGACAGGGAAAGACAGAAGATGGGAGGAAGCCGAATCTGAGCAAAGTTCATTGGACTCTGTTTCAAAACTTCTACAGGTGCTTCTTCATCATCTACTTACCGTGATCGAACAAGCATCCATCTGAAACAGTTTCGAAAAAAAAGAAATATAATTATGCGCAGTAATTTCTATGGCAACCACACAGAACTTGAATAACAAAAAGATGACACCCCCTGCAAGCTTTATATGTGTGACTTAACCACACAACGAAACAATGTTAAACAGAAAAAAATGCACCGCAACGATATTGGAAGAAAAAAGTCGAAGGGGCGGATTTCGCCCCGGTTGTTTTAGGGTTAAAATGCTCTTTTTTCTCTTTTATTAAGTTTCTGCTTTGACCTAAAGGCTACGACAAAATAGTTCGGTAAAAATTTTTCACGACTACACCGAGTTGTGATAATTGTCAAGCATTTTAAATTTTCGGAAGTGAGAGGTCAATTTTTGACACGATATTTCTCATTCAGGTCTGGTAATTTTTCAGTTTCTACAACTTGTCTTTATATTCTATAAAGGTCTTTTCTGCGGTGACAGTTGAAGAGATAAACGAAAGAAAATTAATTACAAGTTCTAAATTTACAAATGATTTTTCAAGACAGCCATGATGACAAAGAGAATGACTACAAACGACATTTATTTTCGCCGGTCGACAACGATGTAAAGACGTTTTCAGTCAAATGACAGATGCATCTGTGAAAGAGCAAACCAACCTGATTTTGGGAGTGAAAGAAGAAACATGCACAGGGCGACACAGACGGACAGACTTGTCTTGGTCTCCATCTTGAAGTCTAGTTGTGAAGTCACCTCGCTCCGCTCTCTTCTTTATAAGCACCCGTCGACTCCGCCCAGTAGTCACGTGTGCTCTTCTCGCATACGATTTAGGGAGCACATTGGGAACGGATGGAACAGTGAAATCTTTGCCTTTGTAAAAAAAATTCAGCACTGATTTTTATTGTGTTACGCCGACCACCGCTGTTAAAACCCGCTCGGTGATTGGACACTGAAAGTATGCCGTAATGGGAGCCGCAACCAATCAAAGAAGAGTGAGTCCTAGCCTAGATCAATAGCAATCATATTGTGCATGTGTAAGCTTCTTGGAACATGTAACTCAAAATAGTGCAGGGGAAAAGTCAAATCAAAACGGTGAGCATCATGCTACATTTAGCGCTAGGCAGTCGATGAGAACGATCATCATTCATTGTCAGAAGAAACCATTCATGGCTTAACAACTGGCTTTTCCATTCATCACAACGCGCTGCCACAAAACCATAATAATACATTGGAAGGTGTCCCTAAGTTCCGTGAAACCTTGCCTCTCACATGCAGGCACTAACAAAGTTTGTGAAGGAAACGCAAAATTTGCAAAGCATTGTGGGTAGTGTAATGCCAAATCAGTTTACTTCAATGGGAACAGAAAATAAGGATCACTTGTCATGCACACACATTAAACGACAAACAAACCAACAAGCAACACACAGAACAAAACCAAAACAAAACTAGCAAACATTCAGAGCTGTAAAAAATTGGGTTATTTATCCATGGAATTACAGAGCTTAATCCAGCTGCTCGCGTAACCAGGTATTTTCAAGTTGCAAATCAACAATTGAAGTGCCATATATATAACAGGTTTTGCCCTTACCCAACGTATATCAATAAGCACTGTATGCTCAGTGCTTATTGATATACGTTGGGTAAGTGCCATAGACAACAATAATAGATAAAAAGAAAACCGCTACAACTATTTCATGGCCTTTCAGGCATTTTTATATTAAAGCCAGATTCACTATTTCAAAATTATAGTTTCTGTCCATGGGGGTGCTCAGATGACTATGGGGAGAAACTTCTGAAAAAGATGATCGCCCGTAAAAGAAGCCTTGAAGACTATAGCCAATATTTCGCATCACCTTAATGCAATACACTTCGCATCGGGAACTACGCTGACTCCTCCAATATTGTCAGATTTCCGTGTTATGTTCTTGGCTAACCAACTTTATGATAACACTTTAGCTTCAGGAGCTATCAACAAGGGTGGACGTTTGGTAGGTGGGCCGACCGGATGCAAGGGTAAATCCAGGGCCTTCGACTTGGAAAGTCCCCCGATCTCTAGGTTGTTGAAATTACTCTTGTCACACAAAAGGCTTATGCTCACTGAGATTATGCCCCCTTTGAACACCAGACATTGTGGATGAGGACAAGTTGGAAATGTTTCAATGGTGTTATGGAAACACTTTACATTTGTACATTTCTTTCTGAATGTTTTCTCCCCCCTTTTGTATTCAAAATAGTAGAGGATTTGGGGAGATAATTGGAATTTCCCTCGCTTCCCCAACTTCAGAGAATTAACAAAAGCTACATTGTTGAGGAGACATTCGCCCCTGAACTTGCACTGTTGTCCTTCTTGTTGAAATGAATGCACACTGACTAAATACAATTTTCAATGTGCTGTTTTTGTACACAGAGCACCATGGCCCTATCTTGCCGGTTCTTAATTTCTTTTGAGAGAAAAAAATCAAAGCGACAGACATTTTTTTTCATTTCTCAGGCACGGCTTCTGTTTTTGTTATAATCATAACTGAATGTAGCTCTTTTAGTTAGTACTTACTTATATGTAACATATGTATTTCTTATTGTATTCTGGATCATGATCATTTGCCAAAGTGAATATCGATTCTGAAGTTGAGTAGCAACAAAATCTAAAAACAAGACCAACTGTACTGCTTTTCAGGTAATCAATATTTTTTTGTAAAACTCTCAGCAATTTATTCCCTACTTTATGGATGCTTCTGCATTGCTTCCCGACTGGGCATCGGTGTAGTATTTGCTGTCTCTGAGTTTTACGGCCTAATTATGACATGTACTCTTGTTTAAACCTAAACCTAGGCGATATTGTGTGTTGAGGGACATCTTGAAATCAGCATAAAGATACCTTGAAATCGATCTCTCCAGAATACTGTTTTAAGATGTTTGTTAATTATTTTGAGACCATATATCCTAAATGATCGGTGAGATGTCTCGAA